AAACATAGTTTTCACTGTATTTGCACCAAATTTCCCCTTTTTACCGCCGCACACACAACACACAACACCAAGAACTGTGGATGGCTTCCAGGATATACAATCGCCCACCAGAAATTCATCAGGACACGAAACAAAAGTATTCTTATTTTCGTTACAGTAGTGTGTTGCTGTTTGCTATTACTATGCTTTCATTTCCTCTTCTCTTTTGAGCAAAGAAAATGTTGTCTTCATCGTCGTTGTCGTCGTCATCATAACTTTCATCTTGTCTTCAAAGTTTTTGCTGTCTCCTCTGTGCCTCCATCACTGACCTCCCTTCCCTAACCTAAAGAAACTTCGAAAGATGGCTCCTCTTTTTTGTACAAGGATGGGGTATCTCTCAACACCCTTGCCATTTCCCATACAATCCCTTCTGTTCGTATGGTTTCATCCGGGTTACCCGATTATCAACTTTCCAGAAAGTACACCTAAATTTCGGGAATTACCAGGATTTGCTGAAAACACACTTACTTTCTGGATAGTTGACAACCTGGAAAAGGTAATCGAATTCCAATAATAAAATACGTATGAAATCGAATACGAATAATAAAATACATATTGAAATCGAATACGAATAATACATATTGAAATTGAATACCAATAATAAAATACAATACTCTTTGAGTTTCTTCTAGCTAGGCACCGTCTGCGCCTACCAACTATCTCACTTGGATAAGTACTTTTTTAGTTGAACTTTGGTTTCGAAAAGTGTGTCTTCCCGGGAAGACACCCCTATCTCACTTTGATAAGTACTTTTTTAGTTTAACTTTGGTTTCGAAAAGTGTGTCTTCCCGGGAAGACACCTATCTCACTTGGATAAGTACTTTTTTAGTTGAACTTTGGTTTCGAAAAGTGTGTCTTCCCGGGAAGACACCCCCATCTCACTTGGATAAGTACTTTTTTAGTTGAACTTTGGTTTCGAAAAGTGTGTCTTCCCGGGAAGACACCCCCATCTCACTTGGATAAGCAGAACCTTGCGGGTTTTGCCTTTTTTTTTCTGGCATTGTTTTCACATCATCATCACCAAAAACCCGCAAAACAAACGGTAGGATGACAACCACCAAACAGCTGACACAGCTGTACCTACTCTTTCAGGATTCTTTTTTTCCAGCCGAAAAAAAAAGGTATGGCGTCGATCCAAAAGTATACGATCTGAAAGATACTTTTACAGTCACCGGTGTATTCCAAGAGCTCCTAGTTGGTTTGGAAGGTGATCCAAGTGGCCGTGAGGACCAGTTCATCCCGTTGGTTCATCGGACCGCGGATGGCTCTGTAGAACTCCGGTTCTCTTTCGGCCCTTCTCACTACCTAATCAATGGGGAACTATTTAAGGAAATGGGTTCCAATCCACAAAAGGAAAAGATTAAAACTCGGTTCATGACGTTTGTAAGAAACGCAGACGGGATACTCGGGCATAGTCTCCCCGGCAAGTGTTTGTACAGTACATACTTTGGAACGACACCAAGGAATGAGAGCTCAAGAAAGCGAAGAAGTGACGTCGGTACCTCTTGCCCGATAACACCCCAGATCAGAGAGCGAGACAGAAAGAAAAAAATATATATATGCCCACCACATCCCATTATGCCACCTAGGGTTTATTCCTCTTTTTCTCTTCGGTTGTTTGCACAAGGCTATGACGTTCACGAAAACGGTCCCTCCCCTGTCCTAACATTGGATGGATCCAAAGAAAACGATAGTGGGGGGGGGGAGCAAAGGAATGGTAGTATCAGAAGAAATCCTGCCAAGTCAGGTGTTCACCAGTCTTCCCGATGCCATGCAAGCAGCTGAACAAGGAATTCCACCAATCCTTGCCTCAAAAAAGAGAGAAGTCAAAGGGAGCTCAATTTTATGGGTTGGCATGGAAGTATCTGTATCCAAGAGGGATGCGACCGAAGTGTTTGGGAATGCACAACATGACAAGGGATTTGTCATTGACTTTGTGCGCGATTCCATTTTGTTCATACGCCCAAGTTCGAGTCTGGTCGGGGAGGTGTGTCTTAAGGGTGAACATGGCGTGGCGGTGGAAGAAGCTGGTATCCTGAAGAAATTGCCTCCATCCAACAATCTACTAGTAAGACGCGACGCAAAGGCGACCAATGAGTTAATTCGAAGAAGAAAAATGAAGAACTACGGGCAAAGTCGGCTAACCTCACTACCACTGTGATTGATAAGATTGACGTTAGCGCTTGGTGTTACCAGTACAGCTATCGCCAAATTGAAAAGACTAGCGAGTACGAAAAGGATCCGTACTTTCGCTGGCTAGACGAGCTGCCACCAAAGCAAGGTATCCCTTGGCTGGTGACAACCAGTGGCGGCATGCGACACAAATGGCAAGGCGATGGTGTCGTCTGTCAAGGTATGGCCCGTTGCAATTTATGCCTTCGTAGGTTTAATAGCAAATATGGATTTGGGTTGATGGATACCTACTCCAAGTACAGATCCAGCTTCCGCAGCGATAGGGAATGGAATGCGGAGCTCCAGGAACTCCAGGCACACACCGAAAAGCACAACGACAAAATCGTCCACCATTTCACGTTTCCCAACGTTTACCCTGGATCCGGTCTACGTTGGCCTTGGGACATGACTGCTTCCTCTGTTGCGCAAGAGGTGCTCTGGGAAGCATTTGTTGAAAAAAATATCCCCCTATCTACATACTTCGGGGCTGTCACCGCCGGGAACGACAAGCTATTGACACTACAAGTCATCAGAATTATTGGTGTGGCCATCGGTCGGGTTAGAAGTCAAAAAGAAAAGGTACTCGACAGGATGTACCGCGGTGGGCTAATCATCCCTGAGCACATTGCTGATTACATGAAATGGTGGGATGAAAAAGTTAGACAGGCGAAACCATCCAAGAGAAGGCCGGCGAAAGATTTGTTTGCATCTACTCCACTATCCTATTTGAACAACATACGTCGCAAAGGTGCCACTGACCGATTCCTGGCCAAAGTTGAAGAGCTTCTGGAGGCACAGTGCCAAAAAATGATGGAGTTTCCGTACTTGACTCTCCCGTCTGCCTACGAAGGCACAGTCGAACACCAGGTTGGTTATGCCTGGAACTCCCTCTGTTGTTTCTTCTACTGTGGCCTTGTCCAGAAGGATTCGTTCCCATTTGTCGACTACGAGATGGGACAAATCACATACCTACAGGTCGTGAATGACTTCCTTCAACTACAGATAATTGAAAAAGGCAAATAGATTCTATAGTTCAAAAAGGCAAATAGATTCTATAGTTTTCGTTTTTAAATTACGCACTACAAAATAAATGCTATAGTATAGCTGTTCATTAAAATAGGTATCTACAAATCTGTAAACGCGATCTCATCTTCTGTGATTGGGCGCGAGTTGTCGTTGCCGCCAACCAAGGCACTTTTACAATAGAAGGAGGCACAATAGATGTCCCTCTCTAGATTGGCCAGGCAAAAAGGAGGTTTGTTCGCAGATTAACAAAAAGGGGGGATGTACTCATGACGAGATTCGCGTGCCGGTGAATCGTGCGATACAATTCAAATCCAGTGCGCGCAGTCATGCACGAAGACGTTGGATACAAGTCTTGATACCGGTATTGCCTCGGTTTTTTTGCATCCATCATCAGAAGGGGAAATAACACGACATTCAGTACAGATAGGATGAAAACGATTGTATCGCTAACACACACATTCTTTCAGCCACCTAGAATATCCAAGGCGGATATTTCAAGCCACTAGCGACTACAATCAGCCGGATATTGGGAAAGCTACTCTACCACATCCGATTTTGGAAAGTAAGCATGTCAGGAAATGATGACGAAAGGGAACTTGAGCGCTAGTGGAGACGGAAAACTTAAATCGACCAAGCATACTATCATCCGAGAATATCCAAGGCGGAGATTTCGAGCCACTAGCGACTACAATCAGCCGGATATTGGGGAAGCTACTCTACCACATCCGATTTTGGAAAGTAAGCATGTCAGGAAATGATGACG